GTCAGGACTATCCTGAAAGAAAACAGAAGCATCAGTAAGAGTTCACAGGGACCATGCCATCCTCTGGTCTCAATGGGCAAAGCAGGTTCTCTGCTTTCCAAAGCCAGGACCCTAGGAACATGTGACCATAAGGTACCCATGTGCCAATACCCACCTATGGAGTAAAGCTCAATTTCACAGACAGACAGTATACGCTTTGTACAGCCAGCAGCCACGACTATGCTCACCCTGGGCAGTGTCTCCTGGCTAACCAGCTCCTGCAAGTGCCTGATGGTGCTCAGGGACAGTGTGTTGATGGCAAAGGGGTCGCACAGGATCATAGACAAATCCCTGGAAGAAATCAGATCTTGGTATAAACTGAGAAGCCTGGTTACTCTGTTTCTAATAGCTGCAGTGCCAGACCCACTAAAGGGACAGCCACAGACTGGATGCAAGGACTTGGGGACTGACTGCAGATAGCCAGCCTCTCTCTGTATTGAATTCATAATTTATCCATAACTTACTCAAAGATCTTCTAAACTACAAAATTAAAGAAAAAAATTAACCCCACACTAAATTAATACCTTGTTTGAAAAGCCCTGACTCAGGAGCAAGCAATGGTGATACGTGACTTTAGTCCTAGCACTCAGGAGGGAGAAACAGAAAGAAATTCATGATGAGTTTGGGGCCAGCCTGGTTTACATAGTGAATCTCAGGTCAGCTTGGCCACAAAGCAAGACCCCCTGTCTCAAAACAGAAACAACCCCTGGCTTCAACTCTAGGTTTAGCCAGTGGAAGAATACAATAAACAAATGTGGCAAGGCTGTGGCAGGGCATGGCATCTTCACGCCAGGCAAAGGATGCTGAGAATCAGGTGGGAGTGTCTAATCCCACCCTCAGCTCACACCTAACTTGCCATAGACAGCAGTCCCCTCCCTGACCAAGCTCCCTATGTTGGCTGCCCCAGAACAGCAGGCCTCAAGAGGCTCATTCCAAGTAATGACTTAGCACCCTGTTAACAGTGGGCCTGGTACCAAGCATGACCATCCCAAATATACCAGAATAGGCTCCAACTACCAAGGACGAACAACAAGCCCCACCAATGCCTGTTTAGGGATCAAAGGCTAGGGTTCTCAAAGAGCTCTCTTTTTTTCTTTCTTTTCTTTTCTTTTTTTTTTTTTTTTTTTTTTGGTTTTTCTAGACAGGGTTTCTCTGTGTAGTACTGGCTGTCCTGGAACTCACTCTGTAGACCAGGCTGGTCTTGAACTCAGAAATCCACCTGCCTCTGCCTCCTAAGTGCTGGGATTAAAGGCGTACGCCACCACTGCCCGGCCTCAAAAAGCTCTCACCCCAACACTTGTTCCTGGCCCTTCTTCACGCCATCAAGAAATCCCTGTAGCTCCCGGGCTCTTTTGCTGTCCACAAACCGCTCACGGATGCAGGCATCCAGGCACCAGGTGAACTACAGGAAGGAAATATACAATCTAGGTATACCCAGACTCTCACTCCTCAAACTCTGCCACTACCCAAATGGCTGTGGGAACCACAGGCCAAATACAGGAGAGAGGCAAAGATAAACACAAGCCCAGGTCCAAGACCCCACCCTAGGCCAAATCCAGGATAGAGAAAGAAAGGGGTCCCTGGAGAGGACAGAGAAAAATGGCAATCAGTAAAAGGGGAGGGGGGCATGCCGAAGACTGGGCAGCAGCAGTCTCCAGGCCTAGACAGCCAACACCACCATTTGCTGTGCACTCAATCAGTAGGTATTAACAAAGGAAAACAAACGCAGTTCTCATTCCCAGGTGTCTGGAAGGCACCATGGCACAGGACTGAGACACCACTGAGTTTTCATGGGGGACCAGTGGCCCACAGGGAGCAGGAGGCCTCCCTAGGTCTCAAGAGTACCAAGGATCAGGATAGCACATGAAAGAGGCATATTTGTTCTCCCTGAAAGGGAGGTAACCAGGGCTGGCAGATGGATGGACAGGCTATGGCAGAGATGTAGTGTTGTTCAGTGTCTAGCAATAAACAACACTACTTAGTACCTAGGAGGTGGTCTTAGATTTCCTGTGTTCTTGGTGGGGGATAGAGGGAAGTGCAGAAAACCTAATTCCTATATTACTTTGGTACTGGCCGGCAAGTAACCCCGGGGGCTCTGGGACAAGAAAAGCCAGGAGCCCAATAGAAAGGTGGTCACAGGGCCTGCCACTTCCAGCTATAGAATAGAGGCTAGAGGGCCTGCAAAGGAGCCACCAGGACAGCCAGGTGTCTGCAAGGCCAGTTTATCTCCCAGTGGAGCTGAGGCACAGAGCTGGCCGTCCGAGAAGCCAGCTTCGATGTGGTCAGCAGCCATTCCTAGACTGGTAAATGCAGAGGAGGAGAGCCCAGGAGACGTGCACAGGTGGGCACGCAGCACTACCTTATGGCAGGGATCCACAGTACAGATGTCACTGACGTCCAGGTCATGCAAAGACATAAGCAGCTCGGCTCGTAACGTGCAGTAGTGCACATTCCTGGTGCGCAGGAACAGTGTGCGCAGGAACTGCAGCACCATGTCATACAGCTTCACATTCTTCCCCACCATCTGTGTCAGCCTCTGCACCACCTAGGGCAAGACAGACAGACGGAGTCCACAGTCCCCACCATCTGCGTCAGCCTCTGCACCACCTAGGGCAAGACAGATGGAGTCCACAGTCCCCACCCCAGGACAAGGAGAGGTGGACATATCTTTAATCCTAGCAGTTGAGAGGCAGAAGTAGGTGGCTCTCTCTGAGTTCTAGGCCAGACTAGAACTCACAAATCAAGTTCCAGAACAGCCAAGGCTACATAAAAAGACCCTCTTTCAAAAAAACAAAACATAAATGCTCATCCCAGCACCACCCAGGCAGCAACACACACACAAGTGTCCCAGTCTTGGATACAGAGCTGGCCTTCTCTCTTTTTGGCATGAGATATTTCTTTCTCTGTCATGAAATATTGGCACTGTATTCAGCTACTCAAAGTGGTAGATCCAGCTGGGCAGTGGTGGCGCACGCTTTTAATCCTAGCACTTGGGAGGCAGAGGCAGGCGGATTTCTGAGTTCGAGGCCAGCCTGGGCTACAGAGTGAGTTCCAGGACAGCCAAGGCTATTCAGAGAAACCCTGTCTCAAAATACCAAAACAAAAAACAAAAAACAAAAAAAAAAGAAAAAACAAAGTGGTAGATCCACATTCATCAAAGGCCCTTGTCTGTGATCTACTGTGTTTCAAGCACCTGCCTGCCAGGTTAAGGGGTAGGTGACTCACCCTGGAAACAGTGCTGAGAGCCCAACACAGGGTGCTCAGGCTATACAGCCACTGCCTCTGGGCTTAGGCTAAGGCTTATCAGGCTATACAGGGCAATCTGCTGTCCTGTGTTAAACCATAAACACTGACAGCCACCTTTTCTTTTACATTGTACTCCAGGCAAGGGCCGTGCTGGGACAAACGCCTGTTTCTTTGGCAGGTGTCACCCACCTTACATGTACCCAACAAAGGCAACCAAACACTCTAGCTCAAATATCTGGGGGGTTGGCAGGGGCCAGGAGAATTGGGTGTGTCTTTAATCCCAACACTCAGGAGGCAGAGACAGGCAGGATCTCTGAGTTCAAGGCCAGCCTGGTCTAGTGGGAGTTCCAGGACAGCTCAGACTACACAGACAAACCTTGTCTTGGGGAGGAAAAAAAGTCTTCACCAACACAAAGAACTTTCACTCAGCTGCTAACTGACCACGGTTAACTGAGTCTCAGGATTATGGAACAAAGAGTAAGTCCAGAGTGAAGATATCACAGGAAGCCCAAAGGCATCAGGTTAGCCTCAACAAGTAGTGAGGTAGTGGGAGGAGGCAGAAGGGTGTAGAAGCCACTGGTTGGTCTGTTGTTTCACTCTCCAAGACCTCTGCCAAGACCTCCTGGACTGGCCTAGACCTTCATCTCAGGAACAAAATCTTCACCGTTGACACCACTTGAGCCATGTGGATGGTCCAAAGTTCTCCTGTTCACTAGGTACAGACCACAGACACAATCTAACCCTGACAAAGAGAGTACCTGCCTCACACATGACCAGCTTGGGACCACCTGCTCATAGACAAGACAGCTGTCCTACAGCCAAGACTGTAAAGGTGATCCACTAGCCCTGTCCCCAGTGCTGGACATCACAGAGCACTGACAAGAGTCTGCACAGTCTCCAAGAGGAAAAACAGGCCAGCATTAAAGTGCCATAAATTAGACTCGTCTGCAGAAACTGGCAACAGAGATCAAGAATGATGGCCTTTGGCATTTAGGATGCAATTCTAAATCTAGCCACTTGGCCCAGGAGTCCAAACAATGTCCGATGTGTCGCTCTGGACGCTCACATCAGGAGTAATAAACTCCAACCAAACAGGAATGAAATGAAGGAAAGGAAAGGAAATCTGGAGGATGTAAGAAATGGCCCCATCGCCGGGCGGTGGTGGCGCACGCCTTTAATCCCAGCACTTGGGAGGCAGAGGCAGGTGGATTTCTGAGTTCAAGGGCAGCCTGGTCTACAGAGTGAGTCCCAGGACAGCCAGGACTACATAGAGAAACCCTGTCTCGAAAAACCAAAAAAAAAAAAAAAAAAAAAGAAATGGCCCCATCAACACAGGACAGACACTGGGCTGAATGAGATCTGCTGTGTGGCCTGACATGTCAAAGCAGGACATCAAGAAGGCCCGGGGACCTGAGAGCTTGGGGAAGCAAGACAGAAGCCACAGTACTGCTGGGAGCACCCAAGCCCACTACAGTACCGCTGGGAGCACCCAAGCCCACTACAGTACCGCTGGGAGCACCCAAGCCCAACT